TTGGGAACTAAACCAGGCCTAAATGTTTGTCGCTACGATTTACGTGCCGATAACTTTGATTCGATTTATAGAAAATATGTGTAACATTTCTATCTCCAAATAAATTTATTAAAAAACTAAATTCAAATATATATCAATGATACTAATTATGTATCATAAATATTAATATTTTTAATATATATTTAATCAAAGTTGTTTCTCGGGAAGAAAAAAAACAGACATTTAGGGACGGACGGAGTAGTACACTTTATTTATTTCATACTATGTTATTTATAATTATAAATGTATGATTATTAGACAATACATTTGATTAGAAATCTGATAGTATCAGGTTTGTATTATAATGGTATTAAAAGTTGTTAGTTAATTGGTCATAAATTATAAAGTTTGACTGTTGACCTACACGAAATGTCTTATAACTGGATCCAAGGGAGTACATACTAATAAAGAATTATCAAGCCACAATAACAATCTAAATCTATCAAATCATGTTATGATATGAACGGTCAAAATTCACGTAGAAATTCTAAGATACATTATATTTGATCATAATCAGGAATAAATTTATTTTTTTAATATAATTCAAACCATTGAGGCAAGAAAACATAGAGTATCTCTATATCCTACATAGCCTTGCACGTTAGCGCATGCTAAATTGTTATTGTTTCGAATATCTGTCGTGTCTTGCATAAAATGAAATGAAAGACTAAAAAAATTATATAAACCACATATCCGATTTTTGTCTTTTTGTTCAAAAGCTAACACCGTTAAAATAACTTAACAAAATAGGGGCAAACTCTTCCTTCAATTTTAAAACGGAGGGGTAAGCTTACAAAGTTTAAAAAACAAGGGTAAACTCGTCATTTTCCTTCAAAACGAGGGCATGAATGCCAAAGCCCCTTAAGATTATGTTTTGTTACTTACATTGTGTTGCATTACTCATCTCTATGTATTCTAGTAGAGATTAGACCTCATCAAAAGTCAGGTCGAGTCGGGTTCGACACATAACGGATTGGGCTATATTTCTCTTTTTTCTACTTTGTGTCGGGTCACGGGTAAAAAATCATGGCCTAAATTTGATCTGATGCATTGGCGGGTCAGGTCATATTTTTTTTGGATGGGTTGGGTCAAGTGGTCTATGCTTTTTTAGAAAAAGGTTCAACCATGCTTTTAGAATGCGAATAAATTTTGTACTAGTGCTGGAGATACCAGCTTACGAGAAAGATAGTAAGAAGTGTTGCCATGCTGGGTCTCAAAACCACCCAAGTCTCAAGAAACTAAAAAACGAGTCGCAAAAGTCTTTCAAATGAAATCTTCTTCAAGATGTTGCTTTGTAGTATGCTTCAAAAAGGTCTTCATCGGTTCCTCCAAATGAATCTTTAGCTTGTCCATCGATATGCCATCAGAATCCATCAATTGCGCCCATCACATCTAGAGATATGATCAATTTCAAATAGATCTAACAAAAATGATGCGGAGGACGTGGGTGTCTACTAAAACTTCAGTAGTGTCTACTAAAATGGCACTCCTACCTCCTTGATCTGACGAGGGCACAAGAGAAGAGCATGCTGGATGGCATGGGTAGAATCAAGGTGAACGATGTGTGGAGGAGGAGGTGGCGGTGAGTGTGGGCGTCTTTTTGGATGGGTCGTCGGCAAGGTGGAGGCAGCCAATATGATGGCCAGGAGGCAGAGAGTGCCTACATGGATGGTATGGCGACGAGCATAAGCATCCTCTTGGACGAGGTCACCAGGGGGTGGAGGAGGCGGGTGATGTGGTTAACGAGACAAGGGTCGTAGATTTCTACTTGTGATGGATTATACGTGTGTAAGGACCGAATGACTCATGGGGGGGGGGGTTGAATTTGGCTCTAAAATTTAAAACAACAACCTTAATTAGTCCATAAAAATTTTAAGCCCCCTTACCATCTTGACATCTAAGTTATTCTACAAAGACAAACTAAGAAGTCCATAAGATCATCAAGACTAATCAAGTCCTTAGCAAGGTTCACACTAGGATATATGTCCTTAAGAGCAAGAATAAAACCTATGCTACGCTACCAAGTAAATCTAGTTGTCACCCAAAAGAACTTGCACACAAATAAGCAAAGCAAGAAGTAATGCAATAAACAAAAAGGGAGGTAGCCGAATTCCCCCAGTATCGGTCATTTCCACAATCCCTAGTGAATGTTGGACATTCAAAGATTCATCAAGATCAGTTAAAAGCTTGCTTCACTAGTGAATACCCATTTTAATTCTAAATGGCAGGTTTCAAACCATATACATGAATTGGAGCCTCCTCAACAATAACTCCACCGAGAAAGTTCACCAAGTGCTCCGCGGGGTCCGTCTAGATGATGGAAATCGCCAATAGTAACAATTCTTTAGCTCCAAGAGAAATCCAACCAAGAACATTTGTCGCACTCAAGGTTAACTCTCAATTCTCACTTCTTGATTTGGATGTCTCTCAAATATGTTCGCAATCCTCTCTACAAGTGCCTGCAACAATTAGGATGGAAAACCAGCTCCGAATGAGCTAGAGGTTGCACTTATATAGAGGGTGAAGGGGCTATCAGACTTTGGAAAAAGTTAGCATGGCCAGGGGGGGTTGAGTAGCCTTAAAACCTAAAATTTCTTGCACACTTCAAAGTAACAGATTAGTAAGGTCCGTAAGTTACATAGGTTTATTTGTAACTCCCGAAGATGTTTGAAAGTTCTGAAGAAATCTCTGGAAGTTCCAGAGATCACGAAATTCTACAAAACTACACCAAGTCTAAAAAAACAAACAATGGGTTCAAAACCTCCTGGTCGCGACTTCATTGACAACAGCGTTAGGGATGCACCCCATGGTCGGGGACATGAGCGCGCCAAGTTGGTACCCATGTACAGATTTGGCGCAGTGGGATTATTGTAGTGAGAGATAGTGACTTTACGTTGGCAAGAGAAACTACCAATATATGCAAATAAATATTATTGTCCAGCCGATAATTAGTGAAAAAGTAAGTTTGAGGCTATATTTATTCGTTTTGGATATTCTAGGGTTTTTTTTTCTGACGACGTAACACATGGACATACTTTTTTTTAGGAACTACACATGGACACACTTGCCGGTGAAAGGAAATGAATTGTAGCTTCTTGTTGCCCTTGAGCTGGGCATAGGACTGATGTGTTGAAAAATCAAGCCCAAGCCCATGTTGGGCCCATAACATTTTTTTCAAAAGCCCATATTGCTATTAGACAGGCCATGAACAAAGCTAAATGTACTGCTTAGTTTGTTAGGTGATTAGGTCCTCTGTATATCTGTCTGTCTCTCAAAAAAAAAAAGTTGGAAGAAAGGTATGCTGTTATTGGAACTCACCAAAGCGTATCCATGGTGGCTCTTGCCATTGGCCTCCTAAGCAGTTGTTCTGCTCGAGTAATTACCCACAGCATTGTTTAATCACGCTTAATCAAGTACAATGGCTGGTGCCTGTCTATCAGATTAAAGCTGCTTTTTATTCACATTCCGTTCTCCTCTTTCCTTCTGAGTGGGCAGCAGACAGCATGCATGCAAATCATACTCTTCACTTGAAGGACCACGAGGACCGCAGTGCATTCTTGCTTCTTTAGTTCTTTTAGTTTTTGCTACGCATCACTGTTCCCTTTCTGAGTTGGAACTCCACTTTCAGAAATAAACAAATAAATAAATAAGGAAAGTATAGTACTTGTCTGCATCACAATTCATTGGTTAACCTGTGATTGGAACATTGCTTATAATTGGAGTATCTATAACAGACTTGAGAAACTTGTGCAGTCTACTACTCTACTTACAACAATACTCTTAGCTAGTTATGGTTCATACTAATCAGATCCATCATGCATTGTTGTTAATCTATTCCTCTGGGTCTCTAGTATTGAGATCAAGCTTGGTTGAATGCATGCTTGAATACCTTCTCACGAGCCTACTAGCATAGAGAGAATCCATGTTGATTCGCATTATTAGCAAGAATGTCAGACAATAAGCAAATTTGATGTCATTTAAAAACTGTTAAGCTTGACGGGATAATTTTTATTTTAATTAGCTTCCTATATTTGTCATGTTGTTAGCGTGTGTACTTCTTGCAAAGCCAGCAGTCTTCATTTTGTAAAAAACGGTACAGTTAATATAGCTGCTATGCCAAGCTGATCAGCATAATTAACCAAGTGGAACCTCACACGCATTGGCTACCTTGTTTAGGTAATTTGCTGGTAGAAAGGTTTGGTTAAACTAGGCTTTGTGGGGATTAACAGCCGCAACTTTAGACCTTCACCGCATCGCAAGTGGAAGCTGGAAAGTATATATGCATCTTCAGCTTATGAAGATTAGTGCACGCATGGACACAGGTTCAGTCAAACCAGTCTTTTCCCGGCCCGGCTGCGAACGAAAGCGACGCGTGCCAAATCTCTGTTGACTGATTGGGCGGAACTGAAGCACGCCACGTAGCCCTAGTGCGGTAGTGCCCTGCTTTGCCGGCCGGCCCTAATTGCTCTCTCAACGCGACTAGTGTCAGTCATGTGATTTGTCTTGAAAGGACACTTTACTGTCAGTTAAGACATCTGAGTCATCTGACACTAACACTAGCTGCCAATCCAAATTAAACTCGGCGTAAATGTTAATCTCTGCGACTGCAACCTCGTACCGTCGAGTGCACAAAACTATGCAGGTTGGCGAGCGCAATGAAGGTTCCTGCAGCTGCAGGTACTACTGATGTGTCAAGTTTCTCTGACATGCCAGTATTATCTGCTCAAGAAAGTTCTCTGTTTTGGCCTTTGGGCTGATCATGAACATGTACATAAAAGAAGGCTTCCCTCTTTCATGAAAAGAAGTTAACAATGACTTTAAAAAACCTTCGCCTAAATTGACTGATTGCATATCTATACCACCCACTACTTCGGTACTTCTACAAAACCCTACTCTCTCAATCCTGCCATCCTCTGTCTTCTTTCTTCTACATCCCTCAGTTTACACAAGCATAGCAGATAATGGAGCTGAACACTAGAAGCAGCAAGGGCAAGGCCAAAGCCATGGCCAAGATCCTGGAAGAAGAAGAGGAGGAGGAGGAGGAGGAGGAAGAGGAAGATGACGACTTCTTCAGCTCAAGCGGCTGCGGGTGCTTCCTCTGCGCCATCAAAGAGCCGGACGCACGGCTCCGCCGGGCCAGCCTCTCCGCCTTCTTCAGGGAGCTACCATACTGCGAGGATGACGGCGGCACCGGCGGCGGCAGTAATGGCCAGTCGTGTGCCGCGGCGGTTGGCGCCGTGTGGCGGGCAGCCATGTCCGCGCCCGATGACCCCGAGCTCCCCTCGCTCGGCGCGATCCGGTGCATGTCCCTTCTCCTCGCCCGCGCGCTCGCTGACGCGGCGTGGCTCCGTCGCGGCGACAACGTGTACGTGCCGTACTACGCCGCTCATGTCATCGGCTCGTACACCATCCGCTCCTCCGCGCACGCCGAGCTGGCCGTCGCGGCCGGGGCCGTGCGCCCCCTGCTGGCCCTACTCGGCGGAGCCATGACGTGGGTCGAGCAGCGCGCGGCGGCGCGAGCCCTGGGCCACCTCGCCAGCTACGAGCCCACGTTCCCGGCCGTCGCGCGCCACGCCGCCGAGGCAGTGCAGCTCGCCGTGCGTTCCGCGTCCACTTGCATCGGCGACGTCTACGCCAACTTCGTAGCGCTGGCACCGAGCAGGCGGCCGAAGTACCAGCGCGACCTCATGACGTGTGGGCTTGGCGGCGGCGCCGACGCCGAGGACAGGAAGGCGGAGGAATGGGCGAGCCAGCTCCAGTGCTGGTCGCTCTACCTACTGAGCTGCCTCGCCTCCAGGGACCTGTCATCTCATGCCATGATATGCCAGGACGCCTTGTTCTTGAGCGAGCTGTCCCGGATGTGGGGCGGACTGGCGAACGGCGACTCGCCCGCCGGCGTCGGGTTGCTGCGTCTCCTCTGTAGGAGCCCAGTCGGCCGCGCCGCCATCATTGCGTGCCGCGATGCGCTGTCCAGTCTTTGTGACCTCGCGCGCTCGTCCGATGACTGGCAGTACATGGCCGTAGATTGTTTGCTCCTCCTCCTCGACGACCGCGCCCAATGGCACGCCGTTGCTGATGCCACGGCGCTGTGCCTCTCTGACTTGGTCGATCTCCGGCACCTCGGTCCAAGGCGACGACTCGGCGACGCCATTGCAACTGCACTGCTCCTTGATGACAGCCATGTCGTCGGTGACCGTGAACTAGGCGGGGAAGCAAAAAGGGCGACCGCCAGCGTGAGAGAGCTGAAGGGAGAGAGGAAGGAGAGAGAGGAAGCAATGCCTAGGGATGAGTTGCTGAAGAGAGAGATCTTAGCCAAGGAGAAGAAGAGGCAAGGCAACGATAGCTTCATGCATGGCGACGTGGACAAGGCCATTGATCACTACACCGAAGCTTTGGAGCTGTGCCCTCTGAGCAGGAGGAGGGAGCGGCTGGTGCTGCACAGCAACCGCGCCCAGTGCCGGCTCGCGCGGCGCGAGGCCGACGCGGCGGTGAGCGACGCGACACGCGCGCTCGCGCTGGCGCGGCCGGCGAACGCTCATGCCAGGAGCCTGTGGCGCCGCGCGCAGGCGTATGACATGAAGGGCATGGCCAGGGAGAGCCTCCTGGACTGCCTGGCCTTCGCCGGAGCGTGGCTCGACGGCCGGAAGCACCATCGGAGGGCGGCGCGCGGCGCGAACCCGAAGCTGCCGTACTGCGTCGCTCGGATGATCAGCAAGCAGATGAGCGTGACGGGTCTGTTCGCCGGTGTGACGATGAAGGACAACAAGGTGGGGAGTGATGATTTCATGCCACGGTGCAGCGAAAACAACGACGGGGACGATGAGGACGACGAAGATAATGATCCGGATGATGACGACGAAAGCGAGGAGGAATTTGCTGATAAAGCTGGTTTGAAGATGTGCACGTCAGGTTAGTTAGCGACGAAGTTAATAAATTGGTGTTGCAACATTTGGTTTAAATCTCTCTCTCTCTCTCTCTCTCTCTCTCTTTTGCGATTTGGTTTAAATTGACCAGTTGCATTATATTGATCATGAAATGGTTTCTTGAATCAGGAAGAGAGTTGCCAATCATCACGGGAGATGCTTGGACGAGGCTGTCCCGGAGGACATAAAAGCCATTCAGTTTGCTATTATCTCATGATCCACCGTCGTAAGCTAGCTAGCTAGTTCACTGATAAATGCAGCGAGAAATTGGAGCTTCACCACGATTAGTCAGATAGAGTCTCTGATCAGTGCAAATGCAATCGCTAAATGTTTTGTGCGCATTGTCGCTTCTGTTTCTGTATTTGCAGGCTCACATGTTTAATCATTATTATCATGAGTTTTAACCTTCTTCGTTTATGATCGTTGCATGTGGCAATTTCTTCATATTCTTTACAATAATTTCCAATTCCGAGCAATTTGTGTGTACATAACAAGTTTGTGTTAGTTTCCAATAAAAAAGTCCATGGATCGGAAGTCTTCCTAAATTTCTTAGTCAAAAGAAACTGATAATGATGAATGGTTATCGCGTCGTATGAAACTGAATTTACATGGGCGACACATAGTTGATAAAGTTGAGGTTCCATCGATTTTGTTACTTTACGATCTTAGTTGACTATACAAATTCTATTAAGTGGAAACGCGATTTTACGATTCTAATATAGTTATGGTTCTATAATTCACTGTCCTACCCGTTGGAGTTCCGGTCTGGTTTAGGATTGCGATTTTCACAACCCTGAATATCTGATCATCGCGGAATGTTTGCTAGATCAGATTCTGCAAAAACATTCCTTTCTGCTTTTTTTTTCCAACATGACTCTTCAGAAAGTTGAGTCATAATATCAATATCAAAATTTTGCACATCCCAATTCTATTCCAAGAAATAATTCACATGGCAAAGCAATTGCAAATGGACTTATACCACAGATTGAGCAAGTATATTGATTTTTTTTGAAAAAACTCAGATCGTCAATTCAATGTAGTGGAAAAAAAACTTCTAAACAGTGGATATCAATAGAAAGTACTTACAACTATACCAGCTTTGCATTTTTCTAATGAACTTTGGACGAAACAAAACCACTACGATTGCATGGCACTTTCATTGGAATATGACGCCTGTCCTCATTTTTTTTTTCGATACAAAAACTTTATTAAAAATCAAGTAATATCATTACATACTCGAGACAAAACAAACTCAGGAAAAGAAGCAAAAAAGACTTCACTACGACCCGACCTAATTGCAAAACGAGCTAGCTCTGTCCTCATTTCTAACCTACGTACTTTTCTAGTTTACTCGTAAATCTTTGTTGAATGAATTATGGAGAAACTACAATAGCATGGGCTGATGGATATATATCCATCATGATTAGGACCCGTTGTGTGGTTAAGACAAAAGCACAGAGTGAGCATACCGGATGCATGTTAAAGGAGAAAGTTAATGGCTATCCTGAAGAAAGAGAGAAAAAAGGGTTTAGGTGTACTAGTATTTATTACAAAAATGTGTATATTTTCAGTGGCTATATAATGGAGGAGTATAAGTGAATTGAGCTTAGCATGTGCTGATGTATGATCGGAGCTAGAGATTTTGAGTTTGAATTCTAGCGAGCAATTAAATAGAAAAATATATAGCATACCCATATTTTTCACATTTGAGACCTAGCCTGCATTCCAGTGAAAATGGGCTCAAAGTATAGGTAAATTGTCCACCGTTACTTTTACCCCATGGATTTGGGGTTTTAAGTTGAACACATAAAACTCAATAATTATTCTCAATATTTTTTTTGAAAGGTCTCAATATTTTTTGTTCCTAGGTAAGGGGTCATTGCGACGTGGGGCTTGCACAGTAAGGAGGAAATGGTAGAGAAAATCAAGAGAGGCCATCCACATAAAAAATGTGAAGCGATACAACAATCTTCATGACACGTACAGGTGCATACCAGTCTTTTGCACACTGGGCCTCACTAATTATTGCAATTCACGAAGAAGATCATCAAAGTACATTAGCATGAATACTGTGAACCTGTGTTTGATAAACAGAGCTTTAGCACATGCAGTTCTTAAGCATACAGTACGTTTGTGTTGTAAAGTTTACATACTTGCATATGTACATATAATTGTGAGCATGCTCATGCAGGACCACTTTGATCCCAAACTCCAAGACTAGTGAAGCACATTTGAGAATTCCATAAGAACTTTCTGAAGAATTGTGTTTGCTGGACATTTATGGAAAGATAATTTTTGCAGGACATAACAGTGTTGTGTTCCTGCCCCCACACATATACAGTGTTGAAGCACATTGGAAATTCCATAAAATTTTTCGGAAGAATTGTGATTGTTGGACATTTAGCGAAAGATAATTTTGTGCCCTAAAATAATCTCTTGCATTTCTCTTCTTCCGCACATATCCAGTGTTGTGTTTCTACTGTGTCTTTTTTCCAGAATCATGCTTGGCGCGCTTTTCATTAAGAGAAATAGCGCGTTTGTCCTCTATATATGCTTCTCAAGTCTCAACTGAAACAACCAAACTGCAACAGTGTAAGCTTACAGATATATTTTCCATCAAGCATCAACGTAACAAAGAACTTGGTGTTAATGTTACTAAGAGCCAAAGGTAATATAAGAAGAGGCATATATGAACCAAACAAATTGGAAGGAGAAGCTAACGGTTTACCTAACTCTTGGGTTATTCCTAGTTTTTGCCTGAATGTTCTCTTATTTCATCTGAACAATGTGATTTGACAGGGGCTTTAAGCACATGCATGCAATTCATAATCATACAATGCCTTTGTGTTGTAAAGTTACATACTTGCATGTACATCATTTGCTGCGTGGTCATGAAGGGCCACCTTAATCTCATCCCACCAAAGGCCCAAAGGCCCTAATCAATTCTATATATACGTACGTCTTATTCTTATTAAGCTTCTTAAGTTCTCATCCGTAGCGCGCATGCACTTAATACTCCCATTTGACAAACCGAATATACTACTATATACATGAGGGCCGTACGATGAAAGCAGATCAAAACGGTTGCGCGAAATAGAAAACCAAGAACAGATCACGATAGGGAGCGAGATCGTTAGATCGTGTAGAAGCCGACAAGTGCGCATGATTAGGAGCGCTAATAAGTGCCGATCATGCCCTGACTCGATGATGATGAACTTAACTGATAAGAATATTGCAGCGATCGTACAAGCAATTTGCACGTCGATCCATGCCCTAAGCAAAAGCCGGCAGCGATGATTGGTCTTGACAGGCGGTTATATGGTACTAAAAGTGGCCAGGGGCCGCTGTGCTTTGGCCTTTGGGCGCGCACATGATGGGCAAAAAATGCCCGTAGCCGCTTTCCGGATATAGGAGTGGCCAAGGACTCGGCCACTCAGGGCAGGGAAGGGACCAGACCAGACCAGGGAGAGCAACGGCTAGCTGATTTCTTAACTTTGTAAGCATAGATTTTCAGAAAGTCTCCAATGTTCCTGCACGAATCGAACTTGTTTCCATGGCGCAGACAAATAAAAAGGTGAGAAAACAATGGAGGTTAAAAGGCATATTTGAAAAATTTACAATGCTCATGTGTACCGATTATGTAATGTAAAAGAAAAGGAAAAGAATGTGGACATTTCTTAGCTGCAACATATCAGAAAGCTTACTGAGGTGCTGCTGGTGTGGCACCCATATCCGCCGACCTGTGCTGCTCATGCCTCTTTTGCAACCCTGGATGTGATCACTTATGCAATATGCATCATATTAGACAACGATTCTGTACGCGAAACAAATCTGCAGCATGTGCCCGCTTTTGGTATCCAATAATATAAACGAGGGCACCTGGCACAATGATAGATGCAACAGGTATGACATAAATCATACATTTCTAGAAGCAGGACTTTCCAGAATCACATGTACCACATAAACCATGTGCTCGAGGGGTCATATGAGCATCCATCCAGTACACCCACAGAAAAGGCCATCACCTCCAGCATCAAGGAATTATTAAAGTTAACATCTCCAAAAGTAAAATTTATTACTGTATTATTATCAGCCAAATACTCATGGGTGCAAAACAGAGCTTAGAAATAAGAGAAACAGCATATATCAATTTACAGTCAACAACACTGATACTTGCGTCTAATATTGCCACAGCATACAACAGTTCTTTTTAATTGTGGGGAAAAGACCTTTTCTATTCCCCACGCCTATTGCCCTCAGTCAGAAACACACTAGCTGTCGATGTTAATCTCATCATCCTCAGTTGCTTCATCATCAAAGGCAGAGCTGTTTCCATTGGCAGATTCCATCTTCTTGGCACTGGATTTTGTGGACTTTCCGATGGACTTGTTCTTTGTTGATCCCTTTTTGCCTTTCTCAGACTGCTGCAACTCAAGCCCCTTCACTGACAGCCGCCGCTTCCGCTTTGAGTTTGGCCCTTCTTCTGGGTCTTCAGCAGTAGAGTTGTCAACTGCCAGAGGAATAAAACCAAGAACATTATTGTCCATGCATGAAAAGAGTTAGCATTATACTTACTGAGGGTAATACGTGAAACAACAGATGATCATGTTTTCAAAATTCTATCCCTGACCACGAGTGTATCATATGGATGCAACTTACTATACTTTGAATACACTATATAGTCATTTGGTAAACCAAAGTTTCACAACATGTATAAATAGTTCTGTAATTTTCCATGACCTATACTGCAGACCAAATTCCGTCAAGTCTACATCGTGATGGGTGCACAGCTTAGTTTTCTTGGTACGATGGTCTGCAAGTTTTTTATATGAATACAAAACAAACCACAGTACCAGTAGAGTCCAATTGGAAAACAAATCATAAGCACAAGGACTACTAATATAGTGACAGTTGCACAGAAATAGAAAAAAACTGACACAAGAAAGCTTTACCTTCCATTGGGCTTGATGCTGGAGGAATGGCTTGTCCATTCTGTACAGCATCCATTGAGGATGGGGAACCAGACTGGTTGCTATCCTCCAACTTTGAACTTCCAAGGCATTTCTCTGGCTGCTCATCGGGAGAATCTGGGTCAGGAATTGCTGGCAAGTAGCAGATCTCATCCACAGAATCCTCCACATCACTGAACACTGTGTTCTTCTCACATGTCTCGATATCAACATCAGCA